TTCTGGGGAGGCACGGGCAGGTCTGCCAGGTATTGTGCACAGGGAGTGAGACCCAGATGTCACCAGTGATTGAATCCTAGGAAATCCGATGATTGCTTTCCCATTGTTGCCTGTCCTTACCCTAGGAATAGGTTGGAGTCTCTCAGTAGACCCCATGGCTATATTAAGGATGTCATATATGCATTTGGGAACGCAGCTTAGTGCAGTAACCATACTAGGAAGCGGATAAGAGTCCCTGGTTATCAAGGAGGCAGTAATGTGGGGTGTGATGTTGTGGAGGTCGTGAAGAGATACAGGGGATGCTGTAATCCACAGTAACAGTGCAGTGTGTGCTAACAGAGATGTGATGTCATGTGCTGAAAGAGTCTGGGACCATCAGAAATAGAACTGAGGATGTCCACAGGAGAACAAGTCCAGGGCACATGGTCTGAAGAGCTTGTTGGAGAAGCAGCAATTTCCTTGCTTACATGTGGCTGCTGAAAGCAGGACTGATACCAGCAAACCACAGAGCAACGCTCGAGTAGGAGCAGAAGGCAACCAGGAAGCACCTGCTCTGGCAGGTGGCACCCACCGAGCTGAGGGGGGGACAGGAGCAGCAGAGCCTTGGGCCACCCCAGGAGCACAGAGGACCAGGCAGAGGGCAGCCGGGGCAAGGAACACTCGGCAGTTGAAGCCGAACAATCCCTACACCAGCACCTGATGGTGCCTTATCACACGTGCTATTGAAGACACGGGTATGTGCTACGGGAACCAGCCTGGCCACCTGCATGGTAGGTTTCCTGCTAGATGTTCACCTGCAGGTGCCTTCATGGCTGTTTAGGTGAGTATTAAGGTGTTACTTGCAGTGGTGCGTTGCCTGTGGTGTGTTGCTCCTCCACTGTTCCTCACTAAACAGCAGGTTTTGGGGAAGATATGTGGTTCGTCTGTACTAGCACTTACATTAGTACTTGTTCCAGTTAGTGCTTTGATTTGCTTATGCATTGTGGTGTAGACAGTGATAAGGGTAACAATACACAACTTGTGCAAGTTGTATCGTCTTGTCTCTGATGCAGCTAAACACAGATTAGCTGAGGGCACTTACTGTCTTAGCCTCTCTCTCCATATGTGTTCTGATTGTCCTCCCTAATTCCAACTACTCATCTATGTGTTGGTAGTATTAGAGGCTGTAGTGTGATACAACTGAATTGGTTCAGACCAGCCAAGGCCTTCTCATCTCCTTCAGGTATACAAGAAGATTCAGGGATCGTGCTTGCCCAGGCTGCTTGCATCAGTCAAAGGTTTACTCTGTGTTTTGGTGACAGAAGATGAGGAAAGAGATGTAAAAACTGTAGTCTTACTGTGTGTTTTCAGGGAAGCTCAGTAGATGTTTGGAGAGTGATTCAGGAGCTGGAATTTTCCTTAAGATTACAAAGACTTCTAAAAAACAAGCAAGGAATAGGATTTTAGTCCTTCTGTCATACTCTGTGGTAGTGAGCTGGTTTAGATGGAATGTAAGCTTTATTAAGGTCACCTTTCCACTCCTTCCCCTCTGTATACTGACACAGTTATGTGCTCACTAACTGTCAGGGCTGTAGTATGCCTGGATGAGGCCCAGCATCCTCACAAGGGGAATAAGGTTGGAGAAGAGACCTCTGTGCAGCAGCCAGCCTGTTGGAAAGGTGCCCTGTTAATAAGGGGGACAGTAACACTGCCTCTCCAGATAACTGCAAACCAGCAAGCTCTTAAGGAGGAGATGGCAGGTCAGGGTGGAAGAGGAGAGTGGGATGCACAGAACTTGCAGGCGGAAAGGCTGTGGGTCACTTTAATACTTAAAACTGTACAAGCTGATGGTAGTTGGTACTTGTATGTATGGCTTGTACTGTATGCAGGAGAACTGGGTTTGATGCAGCACTGAGCGTGCATGTGGCGGTGAAGGGGGGAGAAGTCCCATAAATTCAGTTCATCCTTCTTTTGCACATGTATTTTCTGTGGGATTCTTAAATCTAGAAGTTAAATCATCTTAATTTTGATTTTAGTTTTACTTCATGGAGTCACATTAATTCAGGAGCAATTCACTGTGTTAATATATCTCTGACCACATCAGCGCTGGAATTACATTGCTGAGGCTGAACTTGGGGAGCAATGGGAGCCTGTGCTCTGCTCCTTCCTAAACCAAAATCTTCAATTCTGCCACTTTCAAACCTGGCCAGATTTATTCTATGATAGTTTCCCCGTGGAGTCATCTTGATTGTACCTTTGCCCAGTATCTTGGTGCTGGGCACAGTGAAGAGAACATGGCAGTTCTGTATCTTTTTTTGTAAAGCCCTAAAAAAGAGCAAACTAAAAGTGGAAGCAAGTTAAAGGGTTTTTCTTCTGCATCCATTGCTCTTTCCAGCTCCCTCTCAAATCTTTACCCCTGAGGGAGCATTGTCCAGTTCCCCCTTTGCCTCTCCTCCATCCTTGGGAAGGATGAAGGGATGGATGTCCCACCTCCTGGGGTACAAGCAGATGCAGTTACTCTCAGTGTGAGGTTTGGGTGCTGCTGCACTCCGTGCCTGTGGTCTGCTATATAGCTCAGAGCCAGCGCTGACTCCACACTGTGCTGGCTGCTGCAGCTGCGAGCATTGTCCCTCCCTGAACTCCCTCCCGCCTTGCTTCATCTTCCTACGTGTGCTTTTGCAAACTTCCTTTGCGGGGAGGATGAGGCAAAAAAAGACCTCGTGCTCTGCACAAACAGTGGCTTTCCATATGGAGATCAGGCCCATTCTGCAGAGAACCTCTCCTGCAGCACAAGCTCCTTTGCCCTCCTTGCTCTGTGTCTGTAGGCGGGTGCTTGGATGAGCCACCTTGCTGGGCAGGGGAGATAATGGGGCAGGCAGGGGCCTCCTGTGCTGCTGAGGAGGGACACAGATAGCGGGGAATGCAGCTGCTGGATGGTCTCAGTTTGGGGTGGAGCTTCTTTTATTTCACTTATTTTTTGGCGGGAGCTCTGTGTGTGTGTGTGTGTGTGTGAAGCAGATGACTGAGAAAAGTGTGTTTGTCCCCACACTGATCTCACTGGAGGATCCTGGTACTTAAATACTGTTACAGTCAGAAGATATGTGTGTTTGCCTTGAGAATGGCTTTCCCGCTGTCTACATTTCAAAGCAAAGAGGTTTTATTATAGTTTGTTTGGGGTTTTTTTTTCCTCTCCCTCACTGGAATAGATGTAAGTGGGATCAGGAGCATTTGACTTGATTTTTGATTTCTTCTAACCAACTGAAAATTCTTCTGGAAGACTTTTGTGTAGTCATTCCCTATCATAATTCTTCTAGGAAAATTGTGGAGTCTTGGAAAATGTATTTCCTGTCTAACACCGATCCTCCTACTCTCAATGAATCACTTGTGCTCTCGTGTTGCTTTGGGCTCACTTCCCTATTGACTTCAGTGCTGGGATTTAATTAGAAACCTAGGGATGTTATTTGGAGCTATAAAACTACACAGGATTCTTCTCTGTGCAGTGGGATTACACTCATAAAAAAATTAAGAAAATTAAATATTTGCATATTAACTGTCCGTGGTGTGAACTAAAGAGTTGCTTCACGGGTCTGCATACACTGCTCTTGCAGGCTTCCTTTTATTCCATCCCCAGTGTAAAGCAGTGTTCCCTCTCTTTCCAAACCTATAAACACACCTTGTGCATGGGATGGGGTCTGTAGTAGACACAAAAGGGTGGATTTTCCTGGGGGAGAAATCAGAAGAAACACAGAAATTAGAAGAGGGGAGATTTAGATTAGCCATTAGGCAGTTCTTCCGTGTGAGGGTGCTGAGGCGCTGGCACAGGGAGCCCAGAGGAGCTGTGGCTGCCCCATCCCTGGCAGTGTTCAAGGCCAGGTTGGCCACAGGGGCTTGGAGCAACCTGCTCTAGTGGAAGGGGTCCCTTCTGTGGCAGGGGGTTGGAGCTGGATGAACTTTAAGGTCCTTTCCAACACAAACCATTACATGGTCCTGTGGAACTCTTTGAGTATGAAAACGTCTGGGTGAGCCCTTCCTGTGGAGTCACAGCCCTCAGTGGCAGAGCTTCCCCAGAGACTCATGTTAGCAACTAAGGGACTCGAATCCCGTAAGTGTTACCTGGCTTTAGGGTGAAAAGGAACAGTTTTATTCAGGGTGGGGTGTATTTAGGGGCTCTTTTGCATTGATGCTGTTGTTCTGTGTCCGTTGAAGATGACACCTGCAGAAAGAGAGATGCTCTGTTTAAAAACAGCAACACCCTGTGTGTACTCACTGGGGCTGTCAGCTCTGGCTGTCAGGCAGCTCCTCTGCTGCTTAGCCCCATGGGGACATTATCTTCACCTCTCCCTTTGAGCCTCCCTGCTGCAGCAGGGTGAGGGAGATAAGGGGTGCAGTGCTGCAGCACAGCAGTGTTCTCTGAACTTCCCTGCCAGCACCAGCTGCCACATCTCTTGTAAGTCCCCAAGGAAGGAGTTGCTTCTGTGAAGATCTTCCCCTGGAGTACCATCATTAAGCTGCCCTAACAGGAGGGCTTGAGGTCTGAGTCCAGCAGGACCTGGTTTAGGATCACCAGTACCAGCTTCAGGTTTCGAGAGTGTCTGAGCACACAGTGATCTCTCCATGCTTGAAAAGCTCAAGTAGTTTTTTACACTAAGAAGCTATTTTAACAACTGATGATACGTTGTAATAGGACCAGTTGTACAGAGTGTCAAAGTTGTAGGTGAGCTTAAAAATAAATAGATTGGTTTCATGTTTCTTAGAATGCTCATCGCTTGCAGTCACCAGAGACAGTGCTGCTTCTAACCACCACTCTGGGTAAGCTGGTCTGAATGGGTTTGAACTGTTCGTGTTGTTGATAGAACAACAAAGGGTAGGCAGTTGAAGCAAAGCCAAATACCTGTGTTCCTGAAACACTGCAAAACCAGAATTCCTTTCAGTTTTGCCTCATCTGTATCATCCTTTGCTTGTGAGTGAAATCTTCCACGCAGGACAGAATGTCTTATGTGTTGCTTGTGTTGTCTTTGCAGGTTAAAGAACTTGTTCTTGACAACTGTAGGTCATACGAAGGCAAAATCGAAGGCCTTACAGATGAGTTTGAAGAGCTGGAATTCTTAAGTACAATCAACGTAGGCTTAACCTCAGTTGCAAACTTACCAAAGTTAAACAAACTTAAGAAGGTAAATACAACGTCCTGTGTCATATCCCTCCCTCTTGGCACTGCGCCGCATCTGTAAAGTTGTTGCTCATACAAAAAGTAGTTGAGCTGCTTTGTGATACGTGTTTGCACTAAAAACTCAAGATGTTTCTGTGCCTTTCAGCTTGAGCTAAGCGACAACAGAATCTCAGGAGGACTGGAAGTGTTGGCAGAAAAGTGTCCGAACCTCACGCATCTAAATCTAAGCGGCAACAAAATAAAAGATCTCGGTACAATAGAACCTCTGGTAAGTTGATGCAATACAGGGTTGAATCAAACCCCATTTTGTGATGAGGAGAGGCATTATGGGCTTGAAAAGTCTGCAGAAACTTGTGATGGGGTGTCTTCAATGCTTATCTCTCAGGCCAGGTTGCTGTGGGCTCAGCCTGCCCCAGGGCTCTCCCTCCGCCCTGCCCCGGGGCTGTGCCAGCAGCGAGCGGCTGCTTCCCTCTAGTGGCTGCCGGGGCTGGGCTCTGCCCACGGGTGCTGTGGGAATCACCACGGCTTTCCATGCTGGTGTGGGCTGTGGGGCTGTCTCCACATGCTCTGCTTGAGCTTGGTGTGTTTTCCCTGGAGCTCTGGGTCTAAAATACCAGCGACTGCTTCCACCCAGGAACACACACTGCAGCGTGTGTTGGTGGGGACCACCTGCAGCCCATGTGCCTCTGTACTGGGCTTGCTTGAGGCAGCTGGGCAGAGGTTGCTGCTGGTTTCCATTACCATGGAAATTATACTCTGGTCATTATACTTCTTATTTCAAGTTTGCAAGGTCACAGTTCCTTCCAATTGATGTAAAGTTCCAAAAAGCACCCAAGCATCACTTCCGGTGGTGCTGTTTTTGAGTTTGTGGTTTGTGTGCCCTTTGCTCTCCAGAAATGAAGAGGTTCACCTCATGCCTATTTCCAAAATGCTTCCCTTTAAAATGTCTCAAGGAGCAGTTACCATCTTGGATCTCCTTTTCCACAGTAGAAGGGGAGAGCAGAGCTGTTAAAGTCATGTAACAAACAGATGAGAGAGAGGATTGTTGCTGCTCCCAATTTCAGGCTTATTGTTTTCTCGATGTCACTGTTGCTCTACAGGCTAAACTCCAGAAGGGAGATAGTTCATAAAACTTGATACAAATCCTCAACTGCTTGTGTTTTTATTGTTAGTACTTTGGAGTGCTGTGGTCAATGCAGACCACCTCCTACTCCTGTTCAGTTTCATAGAATTATAGAATGGTTTGGGTTGAAAGGGACCTTAAAGCTCACCCAGTTCCAACCCCTGCCACGGGCAGGGGCACTTTCTACTAGACCAGATTGCTTCAAGCCCTGTCCAACCTCAGTGATGTTTCCAAACATCAGTCTTCTATTTGTGAGATGCTAAACTTGAGAGAGAGCATTTTCCACTTTCAGGTACTGAACAGGCACCGGTCAGGCTTTGCACATTTGTGTTCTACACCAATTTCATAGGCAAAACCCAAAATGACCCTTTTGTGATGGGAAGCTCTTGAGTACATGAACTCTGGCTGGTGTTGCATTAATTACTGTAGCCCTGAACTTGAGACTTCTCTTTCTTTGCAGAAGAAGCTAGAAAACCTGAAGAGTCTAGATCTTTTCAATTGCGAGGTAACCAACTTGAACGATTACAGAGAAAACGTATTCAAGCTCCTCCCGCAACTCACATACCTCGATGGCTACGACCGGGATGACAAAGAGGCACCAGACTCTGATGCAGAGGGCTACGTGGAGGGCTTAGACGACGAGGAGGAAGATGAAGATGGTATGTGAATTGTGCTACTTAGTGTATGTAAGTTAAAAGATCGATATGCTGCCTAGTACATTTTGCTTCCAGCTCTGACTTGTTGGCAAGAGAAGGGTGTTCTCAGCAGCTTCTTCCTGACTGATGTAAAGGAGAAGTACCTCAGTGTCCTCTGAAGGAACGAGGGGAAAGGAGATGGGCAGGGCCTGAAAGAGCTACTTTCTCAGTCTTATCTCTAGTGAAAGATCGGGATGACAAAGAAGCACCAGACTCTGATGCAGAGGGCTACGTGGAGGGCTTAGACGACGAGGAGGAAGATGAAGATGGTATGTAGATTTGTGCTACTCGGTGTATGCAAGTTGAAAGATTGATATGCTGCCTGTTGTATGTTTTGCTTCCAGCTCTGACTTGCTGGCAAGAGAAGGGTGTTATCAGCAGCTCCTTCCAACAATGGAAGTATCTCAGTGTCCTCTCAAAGAACAGAGGGAAGGGAGATGGGCAGGGCCTGAAAGAGTTACTTTCTCAATCTTATCTCTAGTGAAAGGGTGGTAGAAGAAGGGGGCCAGGAGGAGGAGTGAGACACTTAAAAGAGTTCAGAGAACAGTACACCCCAGGGGATGAGGGCATGAGGCAGAAATGGGTAGGAAAGGATGGTGTGCACATGCTGCAGTTGTGCAGGAACAATATGCTCAGGGAAGTGTGAGCAGTTGTGTAAAGCCTGATGGAGACGGGTAGGGTGGAGAACCAGACTGGGCATGGGAAAAGGAGCTGAGTCAAGGATTTCAGTGAAGGAGCCAAGGCATTAGTAGGTGTCTGGAGCTGCTCTGTGGGGGCAAAATGAACTAGTTGAGATGAGGCAGAATAGAGGAGAGTGCATGTATTGAAGTCTGCCTGGGGCAGCTCTGTGAAAGGCACTAACAAAGGAGCAACTTTGTAGTGTTGGAAAACACACGGTGGGTCCCAGTGTGGTGCGGGTGCCATTGCGCCTCCCCACAGCCTGCCCTCGGAGGCACCACGTACCGGTTGGATGAGTTTCTGGCTGGGTTTGGGGAATTTGCTAGACTCTTCAAACCCAGCTGCACAGCAAAAGCAGAATAGCTGGACTTGCACTTTCCCCTCGAGTGCTGAGTGTGGGCTCTGGTGAGAGCAGTGAGCGCTGCAGCAGCGCCTGGCAGAGGCTGCCTTCAGCAGGGACAGGCTCTCCTCATCACAGTACAAGCCTGGGCCTGCGTTCAGATGCATGAAAAACCTCCAAAACACCATTCGTGCAGCTTGGAAAACACTTTCTGGTTTGTTGCTTTGGCTTAATCTCTTTCCTCTTGTAAAGAGATTGCAACCCCAGAAGATGGATGGTGTGTGACCCTTTTGTGTTGCTCTGGTGGTATAAAGGCGAGGGGTGTCCCTTGGGGATGGTTCCCAGTGCATGGTTGGCTTGTAAAGTTCTGCTCAATCCCTGGTGGGAGCAGATGGGCACTTTACAGATGAAGAGCTGTAAGTGTCCCACAGGCTCAAAAGTGTGTGTTAGAGGTGGGAACAGGAGCAGCTGAAGCAGTCCTGAGGCGCCATCACTTACTGTCAGGGCCCCAAGAGCCCTAAAGCAGCTCAGACTGTGGGTGCAGCTGCCACACTACCCTGGCACTAGCCTAAAGAGGCCCAGACCACATTTAGCTCTGTCTAGCAGCTGGAGAGCTGCTTTAATTCTGTACTGCCCTTGAGCAGTGCTTTCAGTTTGCTCCTTGTGTGGATAGGAGGTCAGATCTCAGGTGGCAGTGTTGGGGTGGGGGGAAGTAACCTTTAAATGTCTGAGTGGTTGATCTTGTTTGACTATAGAAGAGGAGTATGACGATGACGCTCAGGTAGTAGAAGATGAAGAAGATGAGGAGGAAGAGGAGGAAGGAGAAGAGGAGGACGTGAGCGGAGAAGAGGAGGTAAGGATTTATGCAGTTAATAATGGGTGTGGAGTGAGTATGCTCTAACTGGGAATAGTTGAGTAAGAAATGGACCACATATTGGAGGCTTTCACTTCTCAAAGCATGTGTTTGCTTTTTAACTCGAGAAGCATGGCTGTGGGGGTGGCTGTGAGGTGTGCCTGTCTATGAGCCAGCTGCCATCTAGTGACCATTGACATGAAATCATCCTGTTTATTGAGCTGATGTCAAAAATACCATCAGGAACATCTGCAAGCCTGGTTTGTGGGGCCTTTGAAGGGCTGTGACCCACAGCCCCTGGTCAGATAAGAGAGTAGTACATGAATTACAGACCCGGGGCTCTCGGAGCAAGGTTCCTTCTTGGCATGTACCTTGGGATCCTTCAGGATGCTTAAATTCTTGGTGCAGTCCAGCTTTTGTTTGTAAGGTGTGCTGAGCCAGTCAGTCTGCTGAGACTTTGCAGTTTGCAGAACCATTGTGATGGGGCTGAAATTTGACTGTAGGAGGTTGTATAATCTGTCCTTCAGCCAAAACAGCCTTAGCTACTTGACTGCCACTCCAGAATGGTTGAAAGCTTCTCAAAACCAGCAGCAGCTTCTCAGGCTCTGAAGATGTCTGTGTTCTAACTCTCTGCTGTGAGAACATCTACAGACCAGTACATGTTCTCTCCTACAGACCAGTCATCAAATTCAGGACATCAGAACAAAATTTGCAGCTACACAGCAGCATATATACACTTATAAAACCATTTTCTTGCTGCAGACTTGAAGCTAGAGGTGGCTGGGAGGGTTGCTTCTGATTTTCTGCACTGGAACTTGGGCCAGAGTGCAGTTAGACTGCAGCAAAAACCCTGCACTTCTGGAAGTGCATGGGAAGGGTCTGCCTTTGGTTTTGGGTTAAGATGCTTCAAGGAGTTTCTCTCTCTTGTCAAACGCTGTTGCATATTGCCAAATTGGGAAAGGACCTGCACCAAACCCAGCTTTTTTAATCCTTCTTTAATTTTTCTTTCCAAATCCAGGAGGATGAAGAAGGCTACAACGATGGGGAGGTAGATGATGATGAAGATGAAGAAGAGCCCGGTATGGCAGCACTTTTTACTAGAGATAAAATACAGGTTTAGAAAGTAGAATCCCATTTTGTGCCGCGCGGGCTCCTGTCTGTGTTCCTGCTCTCAGAGCCAGCCAGCTGCCCCAGCAGGAGCCTGTCGGACTTGCTCAACTCCTCAGCAGCACGAGGGAGCACTCGTCTAACTCCAGTTGTGTTTTGTTTTCCAGACGAAGAACGGGGACAGAAGAGAAAACGAGAACCCGAAGACGAAGGGGATGAAGACGACTAAACTGAATAACCTATTTTGACAATTTCCTATTGTGATTTGACTGTTTTTACCCTGTATTTCCCCTTCCCACACCCCCAACCTTTATTTCCCCCCCCCCCTTTTTTTTTTCTCCCCTTTTTATTTTCTGATTGTAATGTTGCTGTGGGAACGAGAGGGAGCAGCAGACTGGGTGGGCAAGGGAATAAAATACTATTTTTACTGCCACTCCTCCTCCTCTTCATTTGAAACCTTTTTCTTTTTGTCCCTCTCTTAGTCCCAGTAACTGCAATAGTAAGTATAAACCAAGTGGTAATTTGTTTCTTATTATTGGAGTGGATAGTTTGATATCTTGAAAAGCAAAAAAAAAAATGAGG